AGTGTCAACACATTTGTGTGTTACACCAGACAACCCACAATTCATTTATTCTATAGGTTTTTTGTTTTCTTCTCTCTCTTTTTTCTTCTTTTTTTACAGCTAAGCATTTTAAGCTAGGAATTGGAAGAGCAGGCCTGACTTCGTTCCTCTAATTCTGCTCACCAGCCCTCAAGACATGGAAAAAGGTTACAGACCACTCATCATTCCGGATCTGCGTCAGCCTCTGCTGAGAGATTTAGTGTGTTGGTCTGGAAAAACTCCTAAATGTGGTCTGGCCCAGGCTTTTATTTTCCTTGGGAGTTCCCGGAGGCTCATTCAACTCAACAAGCCTCTGTGCAGACACACAGGTCCACGGGTAGTGGTGCAAGAGGTTAGGATGTAAGATGGGCTTCTTTCTGCCCAAACACACTCAAGGGCCCTTCCACATTCTCCAGGGCAAAGATTTAATTGTTATGCTTTAAAAAGACATACTGAAACAACTCAGCAGGTAAACTCTGGAAAAGCAATGCTTCAGAATCAGCTCGGGGCTGCTGAAATAATTTAATCATTCCAGGAGGCCAGGGGTGAGATGGATGGAAAACCGCTTTTTCTTGCTGTCGAAGCTCAGACAACCAGAACACTGCATGATTTGGATATGCTGTGGCTTTTCTTTTCCTTCTAAAGATGGCAAGTTTCTACGGTGATCTTTGCTCCTTACACTGTATCATTTGGTATAAAGATTTTTAAAGTTTAGCCTGATCCATGCTGCGGGACTTGGTAGAGTCCAGCGAAATCCAATATGCCATCTACAAACAGTTCCTCTGACTGGCTGAATCAATTCGAAATCCCACCACAGGGCGACTTACCTATTAGTTAATCTTCTTGCTGACTCTCTGTTGGGTCATTCACACTGTCGACCTGACTACTCATTTCAACTGTAACCAGAAAGGGAAATAAAAAGGTTAAATATTTATCAAAACCAAATCTCTTAAACATTAAAATGGTCTATGAGTTGATACTTTTCTGATTTCCTATCTTAATACCTTTTTTCGGTTCATTTCATTCATTTATGATTTTGGGATCACTCTTGTGGATTTTTACTGGAGAGAAATGGGGAAGGCAGAATTGCCTTTTTACTGAATTGTAGAGACTAAGTTGTCATTTCATACTGGATTTTTTGGGTTGATATTTTCGGTATAGTTATTACCCTCCTTAGGTAAATTCAAAGGCCTCAATAGATATATAAGAAAATAAAGTAAAAGAGATCATTGACCTGCAGAGAGGTAAGCAGCTCCCTCGGAAAGGGCTATGTCAATAAGCCTCTTTGTTTTACCATGTTTTCAATTTTGAAATTCAAAACAGACCTTATAAAACTTGCCACTGGGTGCACCAATGGGCTCTATGAAATGGAAAAGCAAAGCACTTAACCAGATCTCGAAGCAATGATAAAACAAAGCCTGTGCTTTTACTTTACTCTGTATTGTTCTAGGTGAGCATCTGCATACAAATAGAATGTATAATTGCTACCATTGTCCAGAAGTAGCCAAGAGCAGGCATAGCAATCACTCTGGAAATTTTCAAGGGTCATTGCTTTAATTAGGTTGATATTTTTAAAGCATCAAAGCCCGTATTCTAACCTGAGAAACAATATACAAATGGACAATGGCTAGACCATACTTAACAATAGAATTAAAACCTCTGCAACAATGAGCTCAGAATGGTCAGTGACTGCCAGGTTCCCTATATTTGCCTCAACCAAGAAAAACAAAGTATGTCCCCACGCCGATCACCTAAGATGTCCCCCTTCTACTTAGCCCAAGTCTCTCTTCCCCATGCCAAGCACTTCAATGAGAGGGTGCTTTGAGCCTTCCCTTTTGTGAACTATAAAAGTTTCCCATTTTCCTGCCTGCCTTTGAGTTGGCCAAACACAAATGATAATGGTGACACTTTTGTGAGCTCTGAACAAGCACCCATTGTGTTTTCTCATTTGGGTAGCCTTTATTTATTTGCACAAAATCAACAACCCAAATCAATTTTTCTTGAACATGAAAGCTTGACTAAAGTAAAATAGTGGCAGATGCTGGTTTTCACTCTCCAAAGAGGCTTGAAAGAGGGAGTGACATTGTGTGGCATCCCACCCAACTCTCTCTCAAGGAGGAAGGTTTGGAAAGCAGGTCTCTTCTGTCTCACTTGCACACTAGTCTGGGTTTCTAATGACATGAGAGTGCATTCTAAAGCCAGCTGCAAACTGGCCGGAGACAGAAATAATTTTGCCTATATAAAGAGAATCACACGTGTACTTTCTATCCTGGTCTACAAAGTTGTTGTAAGGGCGCCCACCTCGGTGTGGGAACATAATAAAATACAGCAGAGAATTCCTCTTCTGTTTCTTCCTTTGACCCAAGGGTCACGAGTTCCAGAACCCACTATCAAATGTTACTAGACAGAGCATTCCATGATCAAATACAGTTGGGAAAAGCAACTTTAAACCATGGTCATAAATTTCTTTACAGCTGAGACTTTTAATACACATGGCAAATCTCCAAGTAAAGACTAAAACTTAGCATCTCTCACGTTTATTTCCCTTTAATTCAGTGAGCATAGTATGGGCTTGGTGTTCTTTAGAATATGTTTTGTAAACATTAGCTAAGAACTATGTGTATAGGGGCAAAACTGGGCTGGGCAAGTTTTGTTCAACTGAGCATGACTAACACGTGGTAGCTTTAATGGATGGATCTGGTATTTAAAAACATTATTTCTTCATGAGTGAAAAACCAGATTGCGAGAGAGGGCCTATAGCAGGGCTAATGCCCGGTACTATAGAAAACTGTCTCTAAAATCACCAAGTAACTTCTACCAGGGGCCGAGCTTTTTCCAAGGTCATTATCAGTTCAAAGTAATTTGCAAATAACTCGAACAGCAAGACACATATCAACAGGTGATCGCTGATCAGTTCTGGTTCTCCTAAGCTCTGTGGGGGAGTGGAATGAAATATTTATTAAATCACATGTGCTCCAATAGTAGTTTTTTCTAATGCAAGTAATGCCCTTTCCAAGGGTTTTCAGTAGGAGTGAGGGTAGGCACATATTCCAGAGGTTCAGGATCTTCAGATCTTTCAAAATGAGATGTGAGTAAAAAGAGGTTTTTGCAAATTTATTTCTAGGGTACTTTTAAAGACTCGGTAGGTTTTGCCCCTAGCCAATTTGGCTCAGTGGTTGGAGCATCAGCCTGTGGATTGGTGGATTGAAGGGTCCCGGGTTTGATTACGGTCAAGGGCATGTACCTCTGTTGCAGGCTCGATCCCCGGCCCTGGTCCAGGCTCATGCGGGAGGCAATCAATCAATGTTTTTCTCTCTCACATCAGTGTTTCTCTCTCTCTCCCCCTTCCACTCTCTCTGTAAAGCAATGGAAAAAAACAATCTCTGGTGAAGATTAAAAAAAAAGACTCAGTAGGTTTTTGGCCAAGATGCCTGTCTGCTGTGCTGCAATGAGGTAAAGTGATCAAGGAAGGTCCAAGAACAATCTTAGCCCAAGCTCAAGCCAAGGCTCCAGAGTGTGGCGAGGGTAATGGTGGGATGAGCATAAGTGATATTTCTGTAAAGTTTACCAGCTGGACTTCATGCGTCCAGGTTAGCCTTGAAATGACCCAGTATGGCCCCCTTTTTGTGAGTTACAAATAAACTGAGGCACATGCTATTTTTTAAACTGAGCTTGAGTCAATGTTTAAAAAAGGCTTCCAATTTTATTGGTTCCTAGTAGAAAGTGGTTTTTGAACTTTACCTTGTTCTAACTGAATATGTCGATTCACAGAATAGAGGGCTCCCTAATCCTACATTACACACTGTAAATGTGCCAGATTTGTAGGCTGCAGGAGCTCAGAGCGCTGAAAACCTTACCATCAGGACTTGTCATGTTTTCTGTGTTGCCGGAGCCTTCACTTTTCACAGAAACTCTAGGCGTTTCCTCTTCTTGAGCTGAAAGAGTGAAAGATGATAGTCCCTTGATTAACAGAATTAGAATAGTCTGACTGCCAATTGTCCTGTCACCCTCTGCCACCCTCTCAAATTTAAAAATACTCCTGGGATTGAACTGCTTTTGTAGAAAAAGTTAGAGAAGGAAACAGTTTGAGTTGCTGGAATACCATAATGGTGCCATCTTGTAAATTCTCTAACTGGGGAGATAATCACAGATATGCATACATACACAGTTTTTAAAATTAGAAATCTGGTAGCATGAAAGCAGGGAAACTTGGTTTAACCAGAACAAGCTACAACTTAAATTTAGGAAAATTTGTATATGTGTGAGTTTATGCAGCTTCACCTTTGAAGAGAGAAAAGAAAACCTACTTTGCCTTGGGCTTGCCTGAAAGCAGAAAGAATCATTCCCCTGGCAGTGAGTTTTTTGTTTAAACACAGATGCATGGCTTAGTTGCGTCCCTAGGAGGCCTTCAGAGGCTGCCACTTTGAAATGCTGAGAGTCCAGTCTTTAATTCCCATTGTGACTGTTCTACATGTGCACAGTCTCAGAAGGCATGTCATCCGCTCGCTGGGACTGACGCTACATGACATACTTCAATGCAGCAGTAGGGAACTTTTTTTATTGTGAGAAATTTTCCAGATAGTCAATATCCTCTTACTCCTTAGTTAAGTATCTATTATGTTTTCACAACTTAAAGAGCCAGAACATTTGAAATTACAAATACACTTCCAGATGATGTGCTGGAAAATCCATAATTTCAGAGGTTTAATTATTTCTGTAATTTTTTTAAGCAGAAGATTAAATTCATTTTCATTGCATGAGTTCATATTGAGCCTGCAGTATGTTAAGTTTTGTGCCTGTGGGTGAGAAGGAAACACGGACTGGAAAGATACAGTTTATAATTTCTTTAAAGGAAAATACCTTCGAAGATAGGACTTGTACTCTTGTAATGATTTACTGCCAACCAAGAAGTATGACTCAAAGGTGACAAGTCTCTGAGACTGGGTGGATGGATGGCAGGGAGGTCAGTACTTAGACATGTAAAATGAGCAGATTTGAGGAAGGTGCAGAAAGCCATTTTAGATTTGAAGTCTGAAGTGCTGGTCATTTAAGTGGATTTGCCAAACAAGCTGTTGCATCCAGTGCTGAGGGAGGGAATTATAAATTAGACATGCACATATTTGGGGGACTTCAATATAGAAGTAATACTAATGATGTGAGAAGTCAGGAAAGGGATAGCACAGGAAGAAATAAAAAGACTCAGGCTCCCAAGCCCTTCAAGGACAACTGGAAAGTAACTGTGTCCATGAGTTCTTTTCATTGCGTGTTGGCTATGAGGAAGGGGAAACAAAACCTGAAACTTTCAACTGGACTTAACCCCATATCATATCCTTTCCCCCTCTGCAGATCTAGAAAGTGGACCATTTTTCAATTGTTCATCAACACATTCTTTCAAGACATAATTATAGAAGAAAACATTGATGGATTTCTCCAAGCTTGGGAGAAGAAAATCTTTGCTAATTATGCCTGAAAACGCAGAAGTAATAACAAAAATAAAACATAATAAATTTTAGATGGAAAAAATTCCATAAGCAATGTTTACAAAAAGAAAGGTTACAAATTGAGGAAAAATATTTATACTTTTAATCTAAAAGGGTTAATATCTTTAACATATAAAGGACTCTAAAAAGAGGTGGAAAAGATCAAGAATCTTACAGAAAATTGAGCAAGAAATTTAACAATAGTTCATTAAAATATAAAATAAAAATGGCTTGTAGTCATGTGAAAAGACGATTCACTTTGCTAATAATGAAGGAAATGCAAATTAAAACCACATTGAGAAAGGAATTTCTGCCTAAGGTGGACTACTATGATGTAGCCTAACCCTCCTACCAAGAACAGCTAGAAACACTGGAAAGATTATGTACGTCATTACTTTAAGGCACTGGAGAGCCACTGACGCAGCACAAACGTGAGGAGGTGCCAAAGTAGTGAGGCTGACATTCCACATGAGCCAAGAAGCTGAGCAGAGCCTCCAGAAGTCTCAGGAAGTTTGGAGGGGCTGGACAGGGGGCAGGGGCAAAACTTGGAGGTCAGGGCCCACCAAGAAGAAGGTGCCCTGATAAGTACCTCCAGTTTTCTGTGGGGTCCCCTGAAGGGTTAGACTCTGGGGACAAGGATAAGCTTGAACTAGGACCAGCTCTTTAAAAAAGTGAAGTGCATCGGATTGCTGAGCCAGGCAGCTTTGTGTCCTTCAGCTAGCTCCTCTCTTGCAGGCCTCAGCTTTGAAGAACAGAGTCTTTGAAATATTGTACTTAAATACTTTTCCTATTCTACCTTCACCTAAAGCAGGAGAAGCAGAGGTCTCACCTGTTAGCTTTTCTTTACAAGGTCTTCCGCTATTTGTGCCTTGCATTTTAGGCCTGCATGCAGCAGCTGCTGCTTGGAGCAGAGATTAAAAAAATGCTTTCTGTAGGTTGCTTAATGAATAATGAAGATTAAAATAAAAACAAAACTTCAAAACAAAACCAAAAAATATCCCCCCTAAAAAAAAACCTAACATTCAATTTTTAATCAATTTAATTCCTAATTATATGATAGCTCTCTGCTCTGTCTTACCTGCTTTTCAGAAGCAAAAATAAATCCTCTCTAGGAAAAGATTAAACTACCCAGAGTCTCAGGTTATCACTATAATGTTCTATACACAGTGTCCAGCATTAAAAAAATTACCTGAATTCCTGAAAACTAAGACAATAAGACAATAGATAGAGACATAGTAGAGATCCGGCTATTATAGACATGACTTTAAAATGATGATGAATGTGTTTAAGAATTAAATTCCAAATTAGAAAATTTTCATGGCAAAGAAGTTGGTCAGATAACTGGAGACTAATAAAAAAAGTCAGATGTAAATTCTAAAACTAAAAAATATACAATAATTGGAGTTAAAAATTAAATAGGTAGATTTGACAGCAATTAGACATAGCTAAAAGCTAGGTTAAAAGAAAAATAAGAATAAAGTACAGTTAAAAAATAAGATAATGGCTCATAATTTCCTCCGAATTACTAGAAGATAGCAAATCAATGTTTCAAAAGTGTTAGGATCCACAAGCAGAATTTATACAAAGCAAGCCTCATTTAGGCTAATCTATGTAAAAATGCTGAAAGCCAAGGTTTAAAATATATATATATGTAATTATTTAGTGAATAAAAATCCATTAATTTCAAAATAGTAACAATAGGGCCTACAGATGACTTCTCAAGAGAAATAATGGAAACCAGAGACAATGCAATGACATCTCGAAAGCGTTAAAAGAAAAAAATTTCCAATATAAAATTTTGTATCTAACAAAAGCTTTTTCCAAATTTTAATTTAAAATGAAAACATTTCGGAGGGAAAAAAGTGAAACTGGCTATCAGTAGACCTACCCTAAAGGAATAGTTTTTACTATACTCAAAAATAAATTCTGTATAGATTATAAAACTAACTGTGAAAGATAACAGAAAATGGTCTTCATATCATTAGGCAAAAATTTCTTACACAGGAAAAACAAAGCACTCACCATTAGGGAAAGACTGGCAATCTGGAAAACATTAATCAACATCGTTAGTTTATCAAAACACAACATTCAGAGTGTGCAAAATAAGCCAGTGGAAGAATATATTTACAATATAGGTCATTTACAAAAGATTCTATACTAATATATAAAAAAAATCAATATACAAAATAACGGAAGACACAGGAAACCCAACAGAAAAAATAAGACATGAACAGATATGTCCCAAAAGAGGATATCTTGGTTGATCACTTAATTTTTTGAATTACTTTTACCAAGTCTCATAGCATTTAAAAGCCTTGGCTTTTTCACTATTAAAATGACTATAAAATGGTCTAACTCCTTGTCTAACTCTCTGGGAAACCATCAGAACTAATTAAAACGTAACATTATTATTTTTATAAGAAATGATTACTGTGAAAGGAAAATTAATTGGCCTAGCACTATTTAAACATTACTTCTTGGACTTTCTCCTCAGGTTTATTGTTTCTAATGGCAGAATCTAGAGGTACCTGTGGCTGATTCTTCCAGAAAATTGCTTTCAAACTCGTTGTAACCAATGGTAATTGCCCTGGTGATATTACTATGGAGGAACCTCTTTGACATCAAGGGGAACTTCCTATGTGATAGTCAGGATGCTAGTCAATTAGACAAGGCTCAATGAAAATGAAGGAGCATACAAAACACTTTTAAGAGCTGGGTGAGAGAGCAGGGAAGAAGTTAAAGAAAGCATAACCCAAAAGGCAAATCAGAAAGTAGTAAATATTTAAGCTGCTTCCCTATGTATTATTTTTTCAACTTAATTATTTTATAATACAATACATTCATATGAGAACTCTCAGGTTGTGCCACCACACTGGAACAGATTAGCAAGAGATGCAGTGGCAGGTTTGAGATCTGTGAAAGACAGAGTGAAGCAGAAATTAAGGTTGTAGCTCTATACACTGCTATATTCTAGGAGCAGAGTGAGGCATAGTTTGTTAGATCTGGTTTCAAAGACTCTTTAGGTATGTTTGGTAGACATCATTCATTTATTTAATATCATGATGCATGCATATATGCAGGGTGGGGCAAAAGTAGGTTTGAAGTTGTAATACCAATAAATAATACAATAATTAATAAATAATAATACAAGAATAAACTGTTTCACATACTCATGACTGTAAACCTACTTTTGCCCCACCCTGTATGTGTACATGTGGTATAAATATATGACTATGTGTGCATTCAGTGGCATACCTATGTGAATGTGAATGTGCATATGTGGATGCATGTACAAGTGTGTGTGTATTTGTGTGTGTGTGTGTGTGTGTATTGGGAAAGAGAAAGAGGCATGACAGACATTTGCTACTCTGACATGTGTAGAACTGGTATTATCCTAATTGTTTCTCCCCTGCTGAGCAATGCAACTGAGTGCCTCAGAGAAATGAGTCCATTTCACACAGACAACAAAATCTGATCAAAACAAAAATTGCTTCTGCAGCCTATTTATTCCAGTTTGCCTGTCCCTCCCCCCATTTTGATTGCTGCTGCTTGAAACACAAACAAGAGGTGCATTTTAGGGCTCCTAGCAGGAGATAAGAGATACTGAAATAGAAAGAGTCTGGGACATTCAGTACCATTTTCATTTTAATTTACCAACTGCACTCTCCTTCTCAAAGCCTTGATTATGGTAATCTTTTATAGGTCAGTTGCATTACATAAAAAGTAACAAATGAAGCAGGTCTCATCACAGAGAAAAGATACTGAGATGCATATAGAATCCAATTATAAACATGGATAAACTTGTAAATGCATACGCATGGAGAGATGTTAGAGGAACCTGCAGGTTTTTCTTTTGAGATTTGTGTTGACAATACATCCCATGCAACAAATAGAATTACAGACGGTTCTCAGAATGTGAGGTTTATAGGTGACATGACAGCTATAGGTAGCATGGCCTGCTGGGTTCAACATTAAAGAATTAAAGTGGAGTTGACTTAAAACAAGCATTCTTGAACCATCTTGAAAACGTTTGCCATTACTATTAATGTAATGAATTAGGTAATTTTTCAGAAATGTCCTTTTCTGTCCTCTGTCCCTATGGGAGTCCTCTTCACTGTCTCTCCCGCCCTCTTTCCCTCCCTCTTTTTTTGTCATTTGTTTTAGTATTTTTCCTATTTGGTTGTTAAATTTTTTTCTTTATTGACTTTTTATATATTCTTCATAAATTAAGAAAATTATCTGTGTCAAATACATTGCAAATATTTTCTCCTGGATTGTTATCTGTCCTTATTTTCTTTAAGACACACTCAGTAAACTCGACTACGCTTTCTTCTAAAAGCTTTAGATATTTTTTAAAGTGACACCTAGGTGCCAAGATAGCTACAAAAGTCCTTCTTTATTCAAATTTATTAACTTATTAAAGATGTGTTGTCAGGGTGAGACAGTGATTGGTTTTTGGAACAGTTCAGCTTTCCCTTCATCTTAGGGAATTTTCCCTCTCATAGGTTGACGTCTAGATTTCAGGGACACCAGTTTTTCCCACATAGGACAGTTTGTTCTCTCCGTCATACACATTAGTTCCCTCTAATTGTTTTAGAGTTTCTGTGTTCCTTTTCACTGTGATAATCTCAACCCTTTTTTCTTTTCTTGTAATTGCTCTTTGCTGCTCTTAGTTAATTTACTTCTCTAAAGATTAAAAATTTATCTCCTGGGTTCTTACACTTCAGTTCATTATGGCATTTTATCACCTTATCTTCAAGCTCTTCAACGCTCTTTAGAAGTTTCCTACAGTAATTGTAGGGGATTCAGATCTTTTTCCCAGGTCCTGTTTCCTTCCGTCACAAACCCTTCGCCTGTCTTTCCTGGCTTGTGCTCCTTCTTCCTTCTGTCTGTCTCTCAGTTGTGGCCTCCGGGTGCTCGCAGGGTGAGGTGTGTGACACATTAGCAAGCTACCCCTCACAGGATGTGTGATCTGCTGGTCCCCCAGGAGCTGTCTAGAAGAAGTGTTTCCTTTTGGGAGTTTTCTTTGGGGAGGGGTAAAGCAGCCAGAGCCTTTACTACATGAGTTGTGCTGAATTTCTCACCGTGTGTCACATGCCCAGCCCAGGCTCCTACCACTTTGTCCGCACTATTGCCTGTCACAGTGGGAGGCTACCCTTTGGGTTTGGATAGCTTTTTCACTTCATCATGAGACTTCAGACTTTCTTTCTAAGAGTGAGAGAGTCAGCCTGGGAGGTTCCCTATCCCCTCGCTGTTTCTCTCTCAGGCTCCCAAACCAGAAGATGATAATACATAATCTGCAAACCCCATTTAGGCTCCTCAGGGAGGAACGGGCTCCATCTCCAAGGAGGCCCCACCTGGGCCTTTTGAGCGCCTCCTCGCCTGCTTCTTGCCAAAGATCTTGCCTTGTTTATTTTCTCTTTTGTTTTCTACCTGGTGAAATACCTGTTTTTTTGCTAGAGGAAATTAGTTCTAGGCATGTGTTACTGGCCTGCTTTTCCTCTCCCATTTTCCGCTCAGCAGGAGAGAGGAGAATGGAGACTTACAGAAAGCTGCCCTGCCTCCTTGGAGGAAGGTGGAATAAAAGGTGTTCATGCCTAACTCCACGCGCGCGTGACAATTCCCCCGGCTGCTCCTCTCCCAGTCTGGCAGCTAAATGGCAGCCAGCATGATTTTATCCAGGATTATTTCTGAGCCTGCTGGAGTTAGGGGTGGGTGGGGGCAATACCAGGCAAGTGCCTTCTACATTTCTGGAAATATGTCTTTCCTTTGCTGGCTGTGAGCCTGTTCTTTTGTCTGATTACTGTTTTTGTCGATGTCCTGCGTTCGATTGTTTTACTTATCTGCTTTCGTATTGTCGTGTTTGAAGGAGAGGAGTGAGGTTTGAAAGCTGACTTCATACCATCATCTTAAACCCAAGGCCAGGTGCCTGGGCTCCTTTGATTTGTGTAACCAGGTGTTCCCCACGGGCGCTCCACGCACCTGGCCTTTGTCAGCAGCTGGTTTCAGGAATATCTATCAAAAATAGTTCTGATCAGACTTCATGTTGTAGACTGAATGTTTGTGCCCCCTCCCCAGATTCATATGTTGGAGCTTCAACCCCCAAGGAACTGTATTTAGGTCACACAATGATAGGGTCTTTGTGGAGGTGATTAAGGTTAAATGAGGTCATGAGGGTGAGGCTCTAATCTGAAGGTCTGTGGCCTTATAAGACAAGAAGAGCGAGATCTCTCTCCTGCTATGTGAGGATACAGTGAGGGAGGCCATCTATAGGCAAGGCGAGAGGCCTCACCAGAAACTGGCCAGCACCTTGATCTTGGACTTTCCGGCTTCTGGAACTATAAGATAATAAATTTCCACTGTTTAAGCCACTCCCTCGACTGCATTTTGTTATGGCAGCCTGAGCAGACTGACATAGTTGATTTACATTTAGCTCACTTCTTTGGGACAAAGGTATATCTTGTAAACCATCTGCCCCCGACCTAATCTATTTTTCCCTAAAGCACCCAATGCTAAAGCTGCTACTTGACCACTCTACCTCTCTTAATCACTTTGAAAAACACCATACACACATGCCCAAGGATCCCTCTCCGAACTCAAATAATGAATAATTAAGCTGACAGGATCATGCTTGTGGAAAATTCTCGTGTTTCTATAAAACACCCTTCCCATGGCAACACACCTCTTCATATATTAATTGGGGAAATTTTTATCCTAATGAAAATCAGAAGCTGTCCTTTGTAAAAGATAAAAGGCAGTGGTGGTAGCTGTGGGTGGGGAGGTGGGCATAAATCCCAAAATATATAAATTCTTTTATGTTTAACCAGATAATGTAACTCCATGTAATCACTCTGAGAAAAATTTGGAAATTCATCATTAGCTATTGTCAGAATAATCACTCTACAGAAACTCAATATTTAGGGAGAGAAGCCCCCAAAATAGCCACTGGTATTTCGATGTCTACCACGTGATCGGGTACACAAGGGATGAAGCATATTGCTGCCTTCACGGTGTCCACAAGCTCGTGTGTGTGTATGTGTGAG